CACGGTGACGATGATGATGACGATGACGATGATGATGATGATGGCGATGATGACGATAATGGTGGGAGGGAGTCCGGCGGCCGGGGTCGGTCTCCCGAAGGCCGGCCGTGTATTGCACACGCCCAGCCAAAGAAGTACCGCCCGGAAAGCAGCAACAACTGCGCAGGAAGGGCATAGGGGGTGACCACGTCGCTTGTGAAGACTCGCGGCCCTGCGGTTCCGACATGGTGCGTTGGGAGCCAAAGGCGTCCCAGTCGGAACAGCTGGCACGGCATACTGAGGAGCAGAAACTCCCCAGCCCTGGGTGGGCACGAGGCCCCTTGGGACTCACGTGGCACAAGCCACCGCCTCCCGAGGAAATGCCGATCCCTGAGGGTCAGATCAGGTGCCGCTACCCGCCTTCACCAGTAGGGCCAGGCTGAGACTGGAGCCGTGCTACACCCAACGACGGAAGACCCGTCGATACAGGTTTCGCAACGTCCACCCCAAGCCCCAGAGCCCGCGGTTCCAGAAAAATCGGCCGGTTGCACCCCGCACAACCTGCGAAATTCGCTCGCCCAACGGGCCAGAGGCGTGCTAAGATCCCCGGTAACTACTTAACAATATTTCTAGTTCGCGCGCGCGGGGCGGCCCCTGGGGGCCCCGGGCGAAAAGTACCCCGGCCGATCCCTGGCTGATCCCCGGGCGATCCCCAGGGCGGAGGCTATTTTTCGCCACCCCTCACGAGGATCGTGGCCTCCGAGGGGGGGGCTGCAATCGACTACCCCCCCTCCCGAGCACCCCAAGAGGCCCCAGGGGAGCCCAATACGCCACCAGGGAGCCCCAAGACGCTCCCAAGAAGCCCCCAAGAAGCCCCCAAGACGGCCCCAAGGGGCCCCAAATAGCGCTCCAGGGCCGGTGGAATGAGCGAAGCGATTAAACAAGTGTCGTGTACAGCAGTGTGCCCCGAGGGTGCTCGGCACTGACACCATGAAAACAAGTGCCAGGTCTCACCGGAGGGGCTGATGGTAGGAGGGAGGAGGGGAAGGAGGAGGAGGAGGAGGAGGAGGAGGAGGAGGAGGAGGAGGAGGAGGAGGAGGAGGGAGGAGGAGGAGGAGGAGACGCGGGGCTCTGTCTCTTCAAAACGAGGATCCAAGAACACAGGATGGTTGGGAAGTACCCCAAAATAGTCAAAAAAATACGAACAACAAAAAAAACATACTATTTTTGATTATTTTTGAATAGGGGCAAACCCGACTTAACTATGGGGCGACAAAACGTGGGAGGGGTGTCCCGAAGTGGGTGGGGTGGACGCATGTGGACGGTGACAATGGGACTTTCCGTGGGGCTCCCTATGGGGCCGCGAACCGTGTGATGGGTGTGCCGAAATGGGGCGGCGGTGCCATGCGGACCCTGCCACCAAGGCCTTCGGCGGGGCCCCCTATGGGGCCACGAACCGTGAGGGGCGTGCCGAAATGGGGCGGCGGCGCCATGTGGGGCCCTGCCACTGGGGCTTTCGGTAGGGGCCCCCTTGATGGGGCCACGAACCGTGTGAAGGGGTGTGCCGAATTGGGGCGGCGGCGACATGCGGGCCCTGCCACCAAGGCCTTCGGTGGGGTCCCCTATGGGGCCACGAACCGTGTGAAGGGTGTGTCGAAATGGGGCGGCGGCGCCATGTGGACCCTGCCTCTGGGGCTTTCGGTAGGGGCCCCCTATGGGGCCACGAACAGTGTGAGGGGTGTGCCGAAATGGGGCGGCGCCATGCGGGCCCTGCCGCTGGGGCCTTCGGTGAGGCCCCCTAGGGGGCCACGAACCGTGTGAAGGGTCGGACTCTGCCACTGGGGCCTTCGGTGGAGCCCCCCAAGAGGGTCACGTGGGAGGGGTGTGCCGAAATGGGGCGGCGGCGCCATGTGGACCCTGCCACTGGGGCCTTTTGTGGGGCTTCCTCATGGGGCCACGAACAGTGTGAGGGGTGTGCCGAAATGGAGCGGTGGCGCCATGCGGGCCCTGCCACTGCGGCCTTCGGTGGGGCTCCCTATGGGGCCACGAATCGTGTGAAGGGTGTGCCGAAATGGGGCGGCGGCACCATGCGGACCCTGCAACTGGGGCCTTCGGTGGAGCCCCCCTGTGGGGCCACGAACCGTGTGAGGGGTTGCGCCGAAATGGACATGCGGAGGCAGCGGCAGGGATGGGAGGAGAGGCACGGATGGAAGATGAGGGGGGAGGGGACAGCGGGAGGAGTGACACAAGGCGCTGTCTCTTCAAAACGAAGACCAAGCACCACAGGATGGTTGGGAAAACATTTTAGGAGCATGACTGCGAGCTGCAAAGACGGTCCGAGTACGATCCCAGGAGGCCCCCATATCGAGGGGTCCGCGCAAGCATGTCTGTGGTTGGCTCATCAGGCTGGTCCTGAGCTTCAGTGTTACGGCTGCCCCCCGTCTTCGTTCCACAGCTTGCAACTACACGTCCATGATCAGGGCAACTCGCCTGGACGCGAAGCGTCGAGAGCTGTTCGGCCCCGCGGCCCCAAACCCCAGACCGCTTCCCCGAAATTGCAGGCAAACGCGACGGACGTGTTTTCGAGCCAGCGGTTGACCATAGTTAGCGTTGCGCGAGAAAGTCGAAAAAGCTGCCGGAGAGGAGAAAAATGCAGGACGAACATCAGAGGGGCGACGACAACGAGGCGGACACGAAGGAAGGCGAGGAGAAGGAGCATATGGGTATGGATAGGATGAAGAGGAGGAGGAGGAGGAAAACGAAGAGGATGAGGAGGATAGATGATCAAGGAGGAGGAAGACGAGGAGGAGGACGTGGAGGAAAAGGACGAGGACGAGGAACACGAGCAGGGGGAGGAGGACGAGGAGGAGGCGGAGGAGGAGGAGGAGGAGGAAAAGGAGGAGGAGGCGAGGAGGGGGAGGAGCAGGAGGAGGAGGAGGAGGAGGAGGAGGAGGAGGTGGAGGAGGAGGAGGGAGGAGGAGGAGGGAGGAGGAGGGAGGAGGAGGGAGGTTCCTGCGGATTCGGCGCAGAGCAACTAACGGGTCGGGTCGCAAGTGGGGAGCGAGGAGGGGGAGAAGGAGGAGGAGGAAGAGGAGGTGGAGGAGGAGGAGGTGGAGGAGGAGGGAGGAGGAGGTGGAGGAGGAGGGAGGGGGAGGAAGGAGGCAGTAAGAGCAGGAGGTGGGGGAGGAGGACGTGGGGAGGAGGAATATGGAGGAGGGCGAAGGTAGTAAGAGGAGGAGGTGAATGAGGAGGAGGACTGGAGGTTTGGGCTCGTCCTCCCAAGCTCCCTGAAAAGGGGGCAACGCCGATCTCCTCCTCCTCCTCCTCCAATTCCTCCTCTTGCTCCTCGTCCACCTCCTCCTCCTCCTCCTCCTCCTCCTTCTCCTTCTCCACCTCCGACACCCTCCAGGTCACCAACGACACCCCCCTTGAGGACGACACGCCGTTCATCATCCCCAGCACCGACTGGGACAAGGCTGTCGGCATCGTCGACACCCACCCCAAGTTCGGGGCCACCTCGTGGGCACCAAGGGGGGCAGGGGCCACATCTTCCACGCGCACGTGCCAAGACTGCGAAGCAGGTCAACACAGCCTACGCGCACTGGATCGCCGCGATGGAGATCGCATTCCTGGAAATGCACAACGCCCCCACCGAGGAGAGGGCCAAGTACCAGGGCAAGGCACAAGGCTACAAGACCGTGCGCCAGATCAGGAAGGCGACGCCAAGGCGCACCTACCTCCAGGACCCCGAGGCGGGATGGTGGCAGCATTTCAGCACGCTACTCATCCGCTACACCGCCCTGGTCACCAACGACAAGGACACCCACGCCCAGGGACAGACCAGGAAGAGCATCCAGGCGAAGCTCAACCAGCTCGACAGCAGCGACTCCCACCAGGACCACGTTGGCTCCAAGGTCGACCCCACAGAGGTGAACGAGTGGAAGCTGCAGGTCGCCCTGCCGGACTTCTCCGACGAAGGGGACCTCCACCACACCTGCGCCACCACTGAGCGCTGGACCAACATCGCGATGGCCAGGGCGGCGGGCCGCGCCCGCGAGCGCCTGGCAGGAGCCCCCTGGCAAGCTTCACCGCCTTGCGGCGGGCCCGAGCCCCCCGAAGCTCGAGACCAAGCTCAACGGAGCCACCGTCGGCGACCCATGCACCGTTATGAACAAAGCAGCGGACGTCTGGCGGCAGATCTGGACCACCAGCGCTTACGATGAGAAGCAGATCATCCAGTCCTACCTCGAGGCCACGCGGCTTGCTCGGGAGGGCCCCCATCCGAGCCATCAAGCCGCAGCACATCCACGCCGTGGTCGGCGTTGCCGACCCAAGGAAGGCGCGCGGGGTCGACGACATCGGGCCCCTGGACATCCAGCGCCTGCCGCCCAAGGGCATCGAGAAGCTTGCTGCGATCTACAACGTCGTGGAGTCCAGCGGGCAGCGGCCGCAGCAGCTCTGCGCCACCACGGGAGCGATGGCCCCCGAGCCAGCGGGCGGGGGGCGCATCCCCGGCATGCCCCCCACAATCGCTAAGACTTGGAGAAAGCTCCGCGCTACCATCACCGACCAGTGGGCCGGTCAGCTCGGCGAGTTCTGGGACACGGCGATCAAGGGCACCGGCGCCCTACGCGCCGCCCTCGCGAGAGCTCCCCTTGACGAGGCGGCGGCGGCACTTGGCTTCCCCCGCGCCGCCCCCCTCATGGACGTCGAGAAGTTCTGCGATTCAATCAACTTCGCGAAGCTGCTCGACACGGCCACCAAAGGTCAACTTCCCTCCTGCCGTGGTGGCCTTGGAGGCGCGACTCTTCCTCGCGCCCAGGTGCCTGCGGATGCGCGGCCGGGTCAGCGATGCCATCGACCCGCAGCGCTCCATCGTCGCAGGCAGCGCCCACGGCGGGAAGTTAGCAACGGCGCGCTTTGGCCCCGCCCTGGCGAGGGCCCACCAGAACTACACCCACGCTGGACTCTGGACCTTCGTAGACGACACCGCCGCCAGAACCGAAGGGGAGCCCGAGCAGGTCGCCAAGGACCGCGCCGACGTTGGGGCGATCCCCTGCAACGGCACGGTCGAGGCGGAGCTCAAGGTGTCGCCGAAAACCACCGCCATCGCTTCCAGCCCAGCGGCGGCGCTCGACGCCCACGCCACCCTCAAGCGCGAGGGGCGCCCCATCAAGTCGGCCAACGCCCCCGCCGACTTAGGGCCGACACCGTCGGGGCGCGCAGGAGGGCGGAGGCGAAGGCCACCAAGAGGGCGCTCAAGGCGAAGCGGAGGACAGGCCGCATCATCGCCAAGATCCGCAGGCACGCCTCGCTCGCCGAGATCGCGAAGGGCCTCTGGACCACGGGCTCCAGACCGCAGGGGGCCTACAGGCCATCACGCCCCCCCCCCCCCCCGAGCGCCAACGCCCAGCAGCGGCGCCAAGCCGCCCAGGCGATCGCAGGCAAGGCCCCCGGCAGGTGCCTCACCACCACGCTCGCAGTGCCCCTCGGCGACAAGGACCCTGGCATCGAGCCCCGTGGGCAGACCATCCTGGAGTGGCTCTCCTTCAAGTTCGCCGACCCGAACCATCACAAGCGCGTCACCCACGCCTGGCGGCTCATCTTCGCGAAGACCATCGGCTACGGCAACAAGCGCTGGCGCAAGGTGGTCGGCCCCACCTCTGCCGTCCAGGCCATCCTCGTGGACGCAGGGTGGGACTGCCCGACTCCCCGCGAGTGGCCCCGCCACCCTCGCGAAGGTAAGCAGGCGCAGCAGACGTGGCTCCTTCCTCGCAAGGACTGCGGCGACTGGGAGCAGCGCCGCGATGAGATCGACCCTTCGCAATGGGGCTTCGGGTTCTGCCAGACCACCGAGACTGGCTATTGGAACGACGCCACAAAGCACCTCGACGGCGAGGGCCTCCAGCGAGGCGGGGCCGATGTACACGCAGCCACCAATGTGACGAATGGGTCCATGCGCAAGGGCCGGTTCGACCAGCGGGCCCTCAATATATGCGCGGTCGCGGGGGCGCAGTGGCCCAGGAAGAGGCTCACCAGTGCTGGCTACCAGGCAGACACGGCATGCCCGAGATGTGGTGCGCCATCCGAGACCCTGATGCACGGGGTCTGGCTATGCCCCTCCATCCGCGACCGCGAGGATTACCAGAAATCTGCCGCGCTCCTCCCCTCTGCCCTCGTTGGCGCAGGACGCCGCCCCAGCATGCTGGCGTCGTGGCCTAGCCGCCCGCGCGGACACGCACCCCGTCTTCGTTGATCTGGGCGGGGACGGTGGGCGGAGCTGGGTTGGGTGGGACTGGGAGGGGCGCATCGACTCGGACGGCCCCCTAACCTTGTGATGGAAGACGCCTCAGAGAGAGGCTTTCGTAGGAAAAACCATAAATTAGCTAAAAATTATACGAAAATTATGGTTTTTTTAGAAACATGGAATTCGGTTTTGAATACGTTTTGGATACTTCCAAATTGCAGAGACGATTTTGCCTATCCCACGGGATGTGCGGACCGATGTCATCATTGAAACTGAGCCACCCACCAGTACGCGAGAAACCCTTTGAAGACGCAGGGCCAAGCAACCAAAAATCATGTTCATCAAGCTGCTGCTGTCTCCTGCTTGCTTTCCTGTGCTGTCCTCTGCTCTGCCCCCACCCCCAGGAGGGCAGGAAGGGAAAGGCAGGAGGAGGGCAGCAGGGGAAGGGAAGAAGGGTCAGGGAGGGTAGGGGAAGGAAAGGAGGAGGAAGGGCAGGAGAGAAGAAGAGAGGAAGTCAGCAGGAGCAGAAACAGCAGCAACAGCAACAGCAGAAAGGGGCAGGAAGGTGAGAGGCAGCAGGAGCAGCACAAGGGAAGAGGGAGGAAGGAGACACGACTTCCAGGCGCCCCAGGAGTCAGGCTCTCCGGGCGCACAGGAGCACGAGGACTTGCATGCCTCGTGCTCGCGCAGAGGGGCGGCGAGCGGCTGTGGGGTTCCTCCCCCTCCTTTGGTGTTCCTCTTCCTCCTCCCTCCTCCCCCCCCCCTCCCTCGTCCTCCGCTCCTCCTCCTCCTCCTCCGTCCCTCCCTCCCTCCCCTCTTCTCCCCTCCCCCCCCCTCCCCCTCCTTCACCTCCTCCTCCTCCTCCACATCACCGCCGTCGCGGCTTCGAGCCGCGAAGCGCCGCCTACCTCGGCAGCTCGCCGCGCTCCCGCGCGTGCTCCGCCACGGAGGCGATGGTGGCGTGGACCGCCTCCTTGTCCACCTGGGCGGCCGCCAGCCTCTTGAACTCTGCGTTCACCACGCGCCTGATGCGCACGGCGCTCCTCATCGTCTCCTCGTCCTCCAGGTGGTGCAGCAGCGCACCCTCGACCTGGTGCACCGCCGCCGCATCGCAGGTGTACTTGTGCACCGCCGAGAGGGCCTCAGGAACGGCCACGCCGTAGAAGTTGCGATCGTCGTGCAGGTGCTGCACGCCTGCTCTGAAAGAACCCACCGCGTGATCGAAACGATCTCCGTCGATCACGAAAAGCTTGTCGTCGGCCTTGGCCTGCAACTCAGTCCACGTTGCAGTGCTGGCCATGCCCCTGCGCCACGGCAGGTCGCCGTCGCCGTTTGGCGTGCCCATCAAGGCCACCAGCTTCTCGTAGCACGACCGCGCCTGGCCGACAGCGTCGCTGTTGTCGTGCTCACGCTGCGCCTTGACCAGGGCGCGGGCGTTCTTGACGACCAGCGCCACCCTGTCCTGGAGTGTTCCTGGCACTGGCGCCTGCCCGTCGATGGAATCAGACGCGAGCACCAAGGCCGTCAACAAGGCGCGGTCGTGAGCAGGCTTGGAGCGGATGGCAGGCGTGCTGCCCGTGGCGAGGAATGCCTTCTGCTCAGCCAGCGCTCTCGAGGTCAATCCCAGGATGCGCACCGTGTCGCTGAGCTGGTCAACCTTGCAGCACCACGACTCGACGCTGGCCCACAACCGCTGCGCCGTGGAGCACACGGCACCGAACGAGTCATCATCATCCACGGCGGCCAGCTGCGCGAGAGACGCCAGAAACATCTCCTCGATCTCGCTGCCGAATTCGTCTGTCGCCCGCGCCTCGGCGGGAGGGCGCTCCTCCTCCTCCTCATCCCCCCACTCCGTCTCGTTTTCCTCCTGCTCCTCCTCCCTCTTCTCCTCGTCCTCTCCCCCTGGGTGTGCCTTCTCCCTTCCTCCTCCCCCCCTTCCTCTCCCTCTTCTCCATCCTTTTTTTTTGTTGATGTTTTTGTTATCGACCTAAGGGCGCGATAAGAAAACCAGCACCATTGGGCAACGCGAAGTACGGCCACCCAGCGATTGCTTCAAGAACACTGAGACTGCCGCCGCGCAGGCATATGTGCATACCCAGGGATGACAGCCTACGCATGCCGAGAAACCTACAACAACTCTCGCACCACCGCCAAAAGAGAAAATGTACTCAAACACAGAATTCGTCGGCTCACGGCCGCCCAGGAGAGGAGAGAGTGACCTGCGAGCTGCGAGTTGCGAGGTTGGCGGCCGCGTCTCTGCCGCGGGCGCCCCAGGGCGCGGGCGCGCTATGAAGCGCAGCCCGCGGCGTCACTGGTAGTGGGCGCCGTTGCAGTTGCGGTAGACGAGCCAGGCTGCGTCAGGATGGCGCCGCCGAATGTCTATTTGTAGTGCGCGAAAAAAAGTCTGCCCGCCAGAGGGGACAGCGACAAGCAGCACACTTGCATGCGTGATCATCCTCGGATGCTTCACCGATGTCCCAGACACTGCATTGCATCACTGGCTTTGTCAACCACGCCTTGAAAAGTCCGCAACCCCGAGACGGCCCAGAAACTGCATTGCAAGGAATTGCCTTGCATCACATATGTGTCAATCACGCCTTGAAACGCCAGCCACCCCGAGACGCCCTAGGAACTGCATTACACGGAACTGCATTGCATCACTGGTTGTGCAATCACACCTTGAAAAGCAAGCCACTCCGAGAGGGCCTAGAAACTGCATTGCACAGGAGGATGAGGGCGAGGAAACGAAGTAAGAAGAGGAGGAGGAGGGATAGGAGGGGGAGGAGGAGGAGAAGGAGGAGGAGGAGGAGGAGGAGGAGGGACGGAGGAGGAGGATAGAGGAGGAGGTAGGAGGAAGGAGGAGGGAGGAGGAGGGAGAGGGAGGAGGAGGAGGAGGAGGGGGAGGAGAAAGAGGAGGAGGCATTTTCATGAGGCATCAACCAACATCCGACAAGCAGAGCCCAAACGCCAGGAGCCCCGCGTGTTGCCACGCGGAAGCGGCACAATGGTCCCAAACGACACCGTTTAAGGGGGCTGCCGCAAGAAACACCGAACAAACTCGAAACGTAATGCCCGTAACACAATCACGGTGGGTGCATTACCGAGAAACGTGTGGGCAAACACAGCGCCAGGTGAACTTCGCCACGTTGAGTGCGTGATCAGAGAAAGGCGTCAACCACAAGCTTGACGGTCTTACCAAATCTGGGCCTACGGGCCCATGACAATCGCTTGGTGGAAGGCCAGGCATACAGCCCATGGCGTAACGGATCATTATCACAGGTATTACTGGGTGCCAGGCAAGTGCCATTCATTTTGACAGTGGTGTTGGAGGCTACAGGCCCCGAGCTGAGAGTGCATGGTTGGTTCGTTGCGGCCTCTTGTTGCTGCTCCTCCTCCTCATTCTTCCTCCTCCTTCCTCCTCCTACCGCCTCCTCCTTCCCTCTCCTTCCTCCTCCTCCTTCCTCCTGTTCTTCCTCCTCCTACTGCTGCTCAGTCTTCCGCCTCCTCCTTCCTCCGTCTCCTCCTCCTCCTCTGTCTCACCCCTCCCTCCCTCCTCCTCCTCCCTCGCCCTCGTCGTCGCCATCTCAAGCCTTGGCGAAGGCCTGCGGCACGAGCGCCACCACCTTCGCCGCCTCCTCCCAGTGGCCGTGGGGCAGCACGGCCTCCGAGCTCTGCAGCTTGAACTGCCTCAAGAGCGCCATCGCCTGCTCGAGCACCGCACCGTTGTGGAAGGTGTCCCGCAAGCCCTCGGCCGTTGCCTTGAACTCCTCGAGCGCGGCCTTGTTCGAATGGAAGCACGTCATCATGAGGCCGATCTGCTCCAGCATGATCTCTGCCGAGGCCTTCTGCTTCGAAGGAGTCCCCATAGCTTCGGCACGAACCTGCATGTCACCAAAGCTGAACTTGGACAACAGCCAATTCTCGATGGAGTCGGCGTATGGGCGCCACACGCTCGCATCGAGATCGCCCTTCATATGGACAAGCTCCTGCAACATGGCATGGGGATCGAGCTGCGTGCTGTTCTGGTGAACGATCTGCTGCGTCCGAAGGTGGATCGTATCGCCCCACTTCTCGAGGCCAACGATGTTATCCATGAACCGCTTGTACTGTTTGTTGTACCACTCGTTGCCCTTCAGCGCTGCGAAGACGAGCCCAGGCATGGAGTGTTTCATGCCTCGCTGCTTGGCCGCCTCCGCCAAACGAGAAACAGAAGACTTGCCAGCAACCTTGATGTGATCTATGATGCAGCACAACGCTTTGCAGATCGTGAGGCAAGTACTGAACATCTCATCCACCTCAGGGCTGATTGAAACATCTGCATCGTCAATCCTATCATCGAACCACTGGATGGCGTACAGTGCGAACTTCTCTGCATCGGACTTTTTGGGCTCACCTGCCTCGATAAGCTTCAAGAGGTACCGAACGATCAGCTTATCGGAGAAAAGTCTGGCCTTCTCCTCCTGGCTCATGGCGATGGCGCTGAGCGTCGGCCGCATGGGATCGAAGGTCAGCTCATGAGGGCTCAGCGGGTTCATGATGCAGAAGAACTTATCAACGTCAAAGTCAGGCTTGTCCACGAGGTCGGAGACCGCGCGCTCGAGGAGGGCCCTCTGGAATCTCTCGGGAAACTCCACATCACGAAGCTTCGAAAGGCATGCGTCCAACTCCGAGCGGTCGACCGTCGCGATCTGAAGGTGTTTGATCTGCTGAGCTGCCGCGTACTGCTCCTCGTGGTCCTCCCAGATCTTCAGCTCGACCGTGGCCCCCATCTTGCGAAGCTTTTCCTTGAGCACGTCCGCCCCGCCCATCGAACGACCAGTGTTGCTCTGCATGCAGTCGGCAATGCTGGTGGCATTCATCTTCGCCTGGACGAGCGCCATGGCCTCAGATGCCACTGGGGAACCTGCCGTCTGCTGCACACTGCCCGAGTCGGAAGCAGCGCCAATCGGCCCCCTCGGACCTGACCGAACTGAAG